CCATCCATCCATCCATCCATCCATCCATCCATCCATCCATCCATCCATCCATCCATCCATCCAGGGTTGCCTTCACCCAGTTGTCTTTGTGTGGATGAGACCTGACTAGTTCCTTTCATATGGTCTGTGCAAATGTTTCACCTGTTTTCCCCTCCTGCTCCATAATACCCCGATAATGCTAACTTACATTTTATAATTTTTTCTTGTTTCATAACCTCCTTGGTTTAACTTGTTTATTGGTAATAGTCAATGTTGTTTTCATCTCATGCAAAAAAAATAAAAATAAAAACTTTTTTCCATTCACCTTTAAAGATTTATGAGTCAAATTATCTAAACAATGGGAGTGATTGGGACCTACACATTTTTCTTGTCTTCATATTATCAGCATTTGCTAGACAACTACATACCATAAAACGTCTTCTCTGCATCTCTGCTCACTTAAAGATTGTTAAGCTCAATAGATGGACTCACTTTTAATTTTGTTATATTTAAATCTTAACATTGCATTTACAAGTGGATGTCTTTTATTTTGTTTGATATTTAATGGTACATAACAATTACATTTGTCCTTCAAAATTAATCATTTCAGTTACAATTTTTTTTTTAATCATTCAAAGTGACCCTCACTGAAAATCGTACAGGATGTAATGCCGCAATGGTTTCTCCAAGACATCGTCGGTTGGGGTAAGCCAGCATGATATATCCACAGGCTCTGTAATGCTATAATCGGCTGCACTAGAGCTGCAAAAAAGAAGAAACTGTTTTTAAAAGTTGTTTTATTATCATTTCCTGGAATATGTGCACAGAAATGTAAATTGTACCTGTTTACATAGACCTCTCTGTCTCTGATTCTTAATTTTGTTAGGGGGGTCGATTCCACCTCCACATAGGAAGTTATGCTTAACGCTGCTGTCAGTCAAACAACAACAGAAGACATGACATTAAAATTCTGGCTATTTCGTATTTTGGTTATGAAGACAAACAAGGACTGTTAACTTACCTAAAATCCCTTCAATGTTATTGGCATTTGGCATTCTGTGTACGACAGGCCAAAGGAATTTGTAACCATCTTTTTCATGAACAAAGATGACCAAATGCATGTCTTCCAGTGTAATATGAAATTCTTTGTCCGGTTGCCGGATCACCTTAATTCTGGAAAATGTAGAACCTTGGATTAAATTTCCGTCTTTGAGTCTTAAAATTTTGTCATGATTAGTATTAAATTTTTCTTAAAGCTTGCTTTCTCTGCTTAAGTTTTTGGGTATGTTAAATAGAGCCTAGGGCCAAGCAGCATCCAAAGTTCATCTTAAAAGGCCTCCGATCCGCAACTCGTCTGCGCCTGTGCGCAGGCGGTGGTTGCGCTGTGTGACTTCATTCAGATAACCCAGTTTTAATCCACCTACACCCCCTCCTCCATCATCGCAGCTAAAACATTACTCCCAGACTCTTACTGCATTTTGCATCTCATCTCAACCAGTCCTGCAGAAGATCACCATGTTGAGCCTGGTTCTGCGAGAGGTTTCTTCCCAATGGGGAGTTTTTCCTCTCCACTGTC